AGTGATCTTTACACTCGTACAATATTATATTTCTTGGTACATCTACGGAAGCGTATCCGGGTCACATAATACTTTTCATAAAAAGGCTGGAAAAAAATGTTATTTCTAAATAAGTTCTCAAAGCATTGCGAATTTGGGTGCGACTTCCGTATCCGGGTCACTTAATACTTTTTATGAAAAAGACTTGAAAAGAAATGTTATTTTCTAAATACATTTTTGTTCTCAAAGCATTGCGGGTTTTGGTGCGAAATCTTAGCGTTTTTTTCCATTCGTTTTGGCCTCAGGTTCCGTTGTTTTGAATTTATTTATATAAAGTTTATTTAAACTATAAACAAATTTGACAGTATCCTTTAACAAGAACACAGGTCATACCAGCAAAGAGCATATAATACATGTGTTAAACAAATTTGACATTTTCCTTTTGTCATTGTTACTGATACTAACTAGTAATATATCATTACATTCATATAAATTTTGAGGATGACTGTTTTAAATGTAATCGAAATATACGATAAAGAAAGTTGCATTTACAATGGATAAAGTTTTCTCATTAACATTGTGTTGAACTTAAACAGTCTTTTCTCTAGATGATGAAAAAGAAACAAATCTAGAAAAAAAAAAAAACAGCGCAAAAAAAAAATATCCTGAAATTTTAATTGCTTCTGTTAATGCTTTGCGTATACAATATCTATCCAATACCACATTTACAAAATGAAAGTAGGTGTAATCTGGTTTATGTCTTTCTGGATCGTTACCAACCGCTCAATTATAATTTTACCTGGTGGTTTATTACATACAAACTTATAAACATAGTGAATAATGAGTTGGTACATGAATGTATATTGTTGAAAAAGTGTGTTTGCATTTAGGTAACACTGGTCATTAACTCGTTAAAATCCGGCAATTTCCGTCCCGTGCCGTAAAGAAGTCAACGTGACCAAGAGCAGCACATCTTGTCAAATAAACGCATAAATGAATTTATCAGATGCGAAAGTCAAATATTTTCGCATTTCTTGGGCATTGCATATGTTATGCTTGTTCTCGTAGTTTGTATATCGTATGTCACAAAATTAGATTTTTTTTTTCATATTTCGAACCGCATGAATTTTGAAAAAGAATACTCTCTATAGTGCCGGTATAATAACATAGTGTGCTAAGATAGGAGTTTGATCATTTATAGCAAAATAGTTTTCTCAATCTGAAAATGCATTAAGTTGGCATAATGACAAATCATGATATAACACAAGAAATCTTAAGTTTGGCTATTTCAAACCAATTACTTCCAAGGACAACTTGCATACCGTGTGAATCATAGTTCATTTGTGCGTATTTATGCTTTTGCATTAATTTACTGTTCAACGTGTCATATTTATACAAAAGTAATCAATTCATTCTCTTTATTTTACATGACCTGTAAACGAACTCTTTATTTGACATTTCTGAAAAAAACTCTGAATTCAACACGATATATTTATACAAAAAAATCAATTTGTTTTTATTAACAAACTTAGTTTATATGACTTCTGTGATTCTCTTGACGAAATATGAACTGAAATCAATTGTTTTAACTCATTTATCTCAAGGACATATGATCCATTATAATACTAAATTTACAATGCCGGCGAATGTGTATTGAAGTTTCATATATCTAGGTAACGTAGTGTTCACATTACAGACAATTATGGACAAGGACAAACCATTAATTATTCTCGAATTAACGCTGGTTGAAATATATACCTGCTGAATGAGATGGTTTATGTAGATATAAATAAACCTTCCAGAATGGACTTCATCACATACCTCGCAACAATAATTACTATTTTTGTCGTGAACTTTTTTCTACCTCAAAGATTATTAATGAACTTTGTTTTAAAGAAAGAGAAGTTTATTTGTGGAATCTAATTTAGAATCAAATAACTGTAATGCATAATTATAGAAAAGAAATAAATAAACTGGCTTACTAATGATATAAAATCATCTTTGAAAGACACACACATTTTTATTAACTGAATATGGATATTTAAAAATATGCAAACTGTATCTGCTACACACGTATAATGACGTAATTGCCCAACCAGTTTTGCATATATCATTGTAATTTTCTTATAATTATGTAATATTTACATGTATTTTATTTTATTTATTTTAAAACATTGCTTCTTGTTTAATATTTGTTAGAATGATGCCATAAATCCACACATTGCGCACCTACACAGCTTTATGGCGAAAACAAAATGTGCTTGTAAGATTTCAAAAGTAACATAAGATTTAGTTATGATAGACCAGGAAATGAAAATATCATTGCATTGATTTAATTCACAATCTGATTAGTTTTTCAAAAAGCCTGAATTATTTTCCAAACACTCTGAAAAGTACGAAAATCAACATCGCCATCAATGATCACAATTATAACTGGCATTACAACAACAACAACAGCATCAGTAGCAGCAGCAACAACAGCAACAGCAGCAGCAGCAGCAACAGCAGCAGCAGCAACAACAACAACAGCAGCAGCAGCAGCAGCAGCAACAACAACAACAAAAACAACAGCAGCAGCAACATCAACAGTAACAATATCAGTAGCAGTAGCAGATACAACTACAATAACACCAACAACATTAGTAGTAACAACAACAACAACAATGACAACAAAACCAAATATCACCACTACCATAACAAAAACATCATGAAATTGAAAACAGCGACTTAAAATGACTTTAGAATATCACATAATTGCATAAAGAAAACATAAATGTATAGAAACAGGACCGGGGCTTGCGTTTGATGTAATTCTGAGAAAAAATTAGATAAAATATTGTCTGAGAGAAAGGTTTCATTTGATTGTCGTAGCAGATCGTGACAAAGAAATGTAGACTAAAATTGTTGTTACAGTGATGGAAACCATAACCATGGCTTAATAAGACGGACTTATTGAACCCCAGACTATGCGTCTCTACTAATTTCTTTTTGTCGTGACCAGAAAAGGGCAAATTTATTAACGATTTTACAATGATATGAGCAAATTTGATATTAAAGGGACTCCGCTCAGGTTTTACGACATGACGGAACTGGAAATAATTTTTCGAGATTAATGTTTCATTTGGTCTATTTGGTCTATATATGTAACGTGTGTGAAATGTTTTAGATCAGTCGCTCACTCCGCTCTTCCAGATTAATAATTCCTACTGTGAAAAATGACCGTAAATTTAAACGCCTTTCACTCAAATTGGACCAAGAAAAGCTCAAAAATACGATTTTCAATATTTTTTTCAGTACATTTATTAATTATTTTCATATCTCTCTGTTTTAAGTGTCCCCATTGATCTATGTAAGAAATTCAAATTTTATACATGTGTATTTCAAGGCGTTTGAACCTCAGTGGAATTCGTTTAAAACAAGTGAACAAATCACAATTTTCAATAGTTAGCATTATGAATATATCAATAGTTCAAAACTGTCAATGTACTATGCAATAATAGCACAAGGCCTTGTTTGTTGTGAAGTTTGAAAAATTTACAAATTTAATTCAATCAAATCCAATCTACCGTATATATAGAAGCATACCAATAGTAGATGAGCCTGGATTTATTGATGAACTTACATGTTAATATTAGGCTTTGACTTTTATGTTTTACCTATTTGATAGTTTTTGTACGCCAGTTTAGTGACAGATTTTACGTTTGCCACTGAATGGATAAAATAGAAAAATAAATTTTACATGCCCGTAGCAAGGGAAAATACAATAACAGTCCTGCAAACTGGCGACCCGTCCGGTAAAACCCAACATATATTCATGTTTAATATTTGATACTAATATCTCTTAAGCTTCTAATGGACTGCCCGAAGTTCAAAGAAGGTCGAGTTCTTTACACATGGTTAGAGTTACTATATAAGAGTACAGGGAAATCAGCTGATAATCCGAGATATAGTAATTAGTGAAGTGATCCCAGGAGCTTCCAATAGATACCTCTTCGCGTGCATTACTAGATTAAATGTTGTTTTGAGTGCATCTTAATAATGGCCATTTGTCTGTATAAGTATCGAGATACAGCCAAACCTGTAGACATAAGCCACCCAAAGGAGTAACCAAACTTGACCTCTTTCTAGACAAGTGGTCTTTATTTCGAGGTTATTATGATTAATTGATTTCATGAAGTGTTGTCTAATAGTGGCCTTTATTTACAGGGCGGTTTTTATTCGCAACTGGTCGTTTAAAACAGGTTCGACTGTATTGACGTATTGAGTTGTGTTAATGTAAAGTGTGATATAATTTGTTTTGTCTTCGTTTATAAACTGATTTTTTTTTAATATTGTCTGAAGAGAAAATGTTTATATGTAATTTAAACCCGTTACCTAGCCTTTGTCACCAGTAAAGAACCAGGACAGCTTGCACATCCGTGTAGTCTGACCAGACTCATTGCTGTTGTTAGCTCAAATTTTGTGTCTTCATATTGAATTTCTTAAATATTCAAATAAATTGTTCGATATACACAGCAGAGCAAATCCATTAAAAAAATCAATCAGGTTATTGGTTAATATTGGAATTTATTTAATGCTTAAACTGTGTCTAAGCTTTGGTATAATTTCTATATTTTACCATATAAGTATCAAGCATTGTGTACATTACATATAATTCTTGTTTCAGACATTACAATCTATATGAAAACAAGAATAAAATAATACACGGCATTGGTATACATAATGTTATTTTTTCTTAGTGATTTCGCCAAGTGCATAGCACACGAATTACTTGTCCGGAAAATTCCGTGTAAAGGATGGCAAATAGCTTTGAAATATACCGGAAGTCAATGTAGAAACAAAGATACTACGATCCGTATTAACGTAAAATTATTGTGCCAGGAAGGTGCTAATTCATGTAGTTTTGCAGCGTTAGGGTTAGGCGGAATGAAATCTTTTGAACTATGGGATACTTTATACAACATCGTGGTACTTTATATGCTATTAATACTTAATTATTTTTAAATGTTTGTCTTTTTCAGTTATGTTTGATACAACTGCGCTTATCATCTATCCAGTGAAATACTCAGAACAGATTGGCATGCGGGCAGGTAACGAGTCCTGGTCATTCGGCTGGGCTTATGGTCTTGGATGGGGCTCAACTGCCCTTATGGCCTTTAGTGCAATTCTTTTGTGCCTAGACAAAGATGCCGACGAAGTTATAATGCGAGAAGTTACAGATTATGAAAATGGAATCGAAGAAGATGAGGTCATTATATGATTACAGATTTATTTATGTTTTGTTTTAATTGTAAGAAAGTGTGTACAGTTAAAGGGTGACAATTTGACGATTATTGATTATCTCGATTATATATAAGAAATTGTAACGTTCGTCATGCATGCACGTTACATCTATACTTGAAGAGTACGTTTCCATTTTTGCATGTATTGTCATTTCATATAACCTTAATAATATATTAAAATAAATTATTAAATTTTTATAAAGCCAGACTGTGGCGTGATTTTTAGTGGTGAGATTGTCAACATTTGCGTACTTCTTTTTCTAACACGTAAAAGCAAGAAAACGCTTTCAACAAGACGGTAAAATCACCGTTTGACGTTACGTTTTTATATCACACGTGTATAATATAAAAATACGTAAAACATTTTACTCTTGAAACAAGTGACGTCATATGAAAATTCAAACGTGTTTACTCTGTTAATGTTGTCAGCAAAAAGACACAAAAAGACGATAAAATCACTGTTTGACGCGTCATTTTTATCAAACGTGAAAAATAATTATAAAATAAAATACGTTATAAGTATTGCATGAGAAAAAGTGACGTCAGAATTACGTCAGTAATCAATTATCGTGAATATTATCACCCTTTACTAAAATCTTCACCCGGAAGTACTGCTCAACGCCAAAAATGTTATTTGATGGATGTATATGATTTGAGCCTTATATTTTAAAGAGTTTATATTTATTTATTTATAAATACATTACCGGTAAACAGGACACTGTTACAATTAGAAATACAATATAAGATTACTATGCAACAATGACCGCGACGGATGTACATTATGATGAAATATAAATAAATAAACTTTGTGTTAATGTTGATGAAATATGGGTAATATCTCACTGGGAATTATCATTTCAAAATCTAATAAACTAAATATGCGTGTAGTGAGAATGAAGTATAAATAATTACGAATTGATTTTTAACGGAAAACAATCATGTTTATAAGCTGTATGTTTTTATGCATATACATACATTACTTATAACGGTGTAAAGTGAGGAATTTAGTTTAATTTTTTTTTTTAAATGAATGTTTCATTTATATCCTACGGTGACACAAAGGTGGTATGTGTGTGTGTTTTTATTTATCTCGGGCGCACGACATAGTATCTCGTATGCACGACTTAATTATCTCGTGCGCACGACATAGTATCTCGTGTGCACGAATCTGTTAAATGGTGCACACGACTTAGTAACTCGTTCGCACGAGATAAATAAAACCATACACATGTCACCTCTGCGCCACCGTACTATCCTGATTAAAGTACGTAATTGAACGAATTAAATTTTAAATTATAATTATCTAAAATCAGACTGCCTGCATATATGTGCAATCATCTTTGCAGCCATTGTTACAGTCTGACTAGACAATAAGCTCACTTACTTTAAATTTTGATATTTTCACATTGCACGCAATACTCGTGCCATACTAGTATGTCTTTGGTGGTTATAATGGTAAATCATAATGGCGAAATATTGTTTTCTGTGTTAAAAGCGAAACTTTTAAGTCGATACTACAAAAATATCCTATATGAAACATTCATAATCTTAAAAAGTGTACGTTTAGAAATTTTTATGAATGTATATCTGATGACGTCATTATCAGTTCCATAATTTTTGAACTATTGATAAGCATAGAGTATATTGACCTACTTTAACAGAGTAGGCGTTTTTCTACGTATATAAATGTTTATTTTATATTCTTACGCAGCTACCTAGAATTGAAAAAAGACAATTATATTATTTTATCTTCGACACGCAATATCTCTGAATTTAACGTGAATGTCTATAAAATAAATCATTAGTTTGCACATGGGGTTTTACGTAAATAACATTTTTATTTAGTCAATAGTTATAATTATAGAGCAAGTGGTCCTTCAAAAAGTTATATTTGGAATAACATGAAGTCCGTTATTTTTTGTATAACGTGTTTAGGTCGAAGATCGCATTTATTATTATTTCCCCCACCCAACGCTTTTAGATTGCTTTTAGATTTTAATCTATATTATCAATACATATATTGAAATGGTTGTCATTGTTAACAATTTTGAATCTTGGTCTTTATGTCTTTATATATTATCTGGGCCATTGGGTGAGAAGTTTTCTTGACGCTCTTCTAGAACTTCAAGTAATTATAGTTAAAAGAGACGACTGTGTAAATATTTATAAAAAAAATATGCTAACACGTTATTTTGGTCTTTATAACGTTTTTTTTAATGTTAAAGCATAACATCTACTTCCTTTATACGTTTACGTCACGGATGTGTCGGTTCCTGGCTCAATTTACGTTTGGTTAACTGTAATTTATTTATAACATTTGGTGTAAAATATTTTTAAGCGTGCTCTCGAGGTTCAATTTTAACCTATGTTTCCTACAAACATTCCTCGACCAAAACATTTTTTTTCATGTTATCATAATTTTCATATTTATCTTCATTGGTTATCATTACGTTGCAAGGTGCTTGTGACGTCATAACTGTGATTTCATAGCAATCCTTTAAGTATACATTATTGCTCCCTTAGAAATACATTTTAAAGACGATGATTTGTATTAAATGTTCTTATTATTTGGCAACAAGTGTTCGGAGATTAAAATGTTTGTTTATATAAGAGTTTCAATCATTATCCAGTTATCGATCGCGATACAAAATTGTTTTAAGTCTTTTAAGTCTCAAAATGTAATAGGTGAGAAACAACAAAAAATCAATATGTTTAGTTAGATATAAAATCTAACTCCTACTTGCTTTTTGTAACTTTGTACTTGAACTAGTAAGGAAACATGAATTGGCATTTTGGTAAAGAGATGTTTTTTTTTTCAATTTGCATTTAGTAAATCAATGTGCTACGTCACAAACTATGGGATTGCCTCTTGACAATTTAAGGCAATTTTCTATCTTGCAGAAACGTTTTTTGTGAATGTGTAAACCTTTTAAAGCAGCATGCCTCCAGATTTATTCTAATTTTCATGAACATTTTGAAAATATCTTTAAATTTAAAATATTGAAGTATGAACAAAAGTAATAAACACATCGCAAAGGCATTTACAATCCATGTAAATTACCAAAAAAGTGGTCAAAATTTGCAAAAATAGACCTTATTACGTTAGTCACGCAGTATAAATATTATAATAAATGCTGCGAATTCGGTCATTAATCGCTCATTACATGTAAATTATAACTTGAATCTTTTATATTTTAACTTTGCTTAAATCTTGGTTCATTGTTCTCAAATTTGATTTTCTTGACATGTTTTGTCTCATCTGGAGACATGCGGCTTTAAAACGTGAATACTTCTATTAACAGTTTGGTGAATATTCCTTAAGCGTCATTTTATTTATAATGTGAGTCATCAATACCAAATTCATTTTAAAGATGCGAAATAACCTGCTTAAATTATCATATTGCAGTGGTCGCCCTCCGGTATTTAACACTACTTTGTTATTAATTTTTATGTCCATTTATACACCTGAAGAACTCACCACAAAAATTATGTTTCATTTATTGTATTATATTACATGTATAACCATTCTGCTCTCGTGTTAATGTAACAAAAACATCGAAACGATGTATATATAATATATATATGATAAGGAAAAAACCGAACCGTTTGGATATGGTATATTATTAAAGGGACCCCACTGAAGTCCAAAGGCATAAAAAACATGACATTTGAAAATCTTACAAATATCAAGTGAAGTACTTAGATTGAAAAGGCTGCAGGAATAACAAAGAAACATATTCAGAATTAAATAAAAAAAAATCGATTTTTGTATGATTTTTAGACGGATGTTTTGATTTTTACTGTAACAGTAAAAACGAATATTTTGGAAAAACGGGGTGAAGGAATAACCTGAAAATTTGCACACAAGTTATTGGTCCAGACTGCAGTCAATTGGTACATAGATCTCGGGAAAAAAATCCAGTTCCGTCATGTAAAAAAACCTCAGTCGAGTCCCTTTAATGATTTTAGCCTGTGACTTACAACAGTGTATTATGCCAGTATTGTCTTAAACAATCCTTCATGATGCTTTATTTTTTACTACCTCGACCATCATATTGATTTGCAGTGTTAAAATACATCTTTTGAAAGTTACTGAATCAATTTGTTGATTTATTTCTTTCCCGGCCATTATTATATATAATGAATGAAAGAATACGACCGGGGCTACGTCATAACTATAATAATTATGTTTATAAATATTAATAAAACACGATATAATTATGTCTGCAAAAGTTTTATTCGATTCTGTCTGTCACTTAAAGAGCATGTTATCAAAACGGCAATTTCCGTTTCATTACGTCATATGTGCATGTGTAAGAAAGTCGTAGCGAGTTTGCCAATGTGCATCGTGCCAAAGAATGCCAATGTGTTTCCAGAAAACACGTAAATGAACGGAAATTACCGATTGTTGTTAATGCCGTAAAGTCTAAAAATAGATTATGCATGTTTGCTACATGACTGCTCTCATGCATCTATTTATTCTTCTCTCTATCTTCAGAGATTAACAGAATCACTGACTGACAAATCTGAGACAGAGTCGGATATAGCTTATGCAGACGAAATTTTCAAATGAAAAAAGTGAGTTATCCTCCGATCCTATTGTCATAATTTCTACCATAAAGAGTTCAAAATAATCTTTTTTTACTATATAAAGGGACTTTATATAAAGAATTCTGCGATAATTTAGATCGTATTACATCCTCGTATAAAATATTGGCTTTCAAGACTTTCAAGAATGTCCAACATTGTTTTACAAAAATCGATATATTTTTCCCAACATAAGTCAAACTTGTGCTGAAGAACAAGCTTGATAAAGCCACATACAAAACAATTTGCAGTCATATGCATTGAGTACAAAATTGATCACACGTTTCACGTGCCCCTCCGTGCACACCGGTCGCCTATGAAATTAAACGCATTCAAATATTACTTTAAATCTCATTATAGAGAACAAAATAGTCTGTAAGAGAAAAGAAAATAAGCCACTTTTAAACAGTTTCCTGTGTTTATTAAAACAATGAAGATGTGCGTTCATGTATAATAAATTAAAATGTACATGACTTATATTCACAGATACGAACATAGTATAGGACCTGTGTCTGGCCGTGCTTGATTTTTGACGACTGTGCACTGGAGTTGATTTTGCCATCAAAATGCAGTGTTTGTTGAGATATATATAATATTTTGTGCCCGATATCTATTTTTGGAAATAATGCCAAAAAGTGATGCGTTTGTTTGCATAAGGACAAAGTTTAAGAAAAATACACCGGAAGTGACTGATATGATGTCTGGAATACAACAGTGAATATCCTAGAAGCCATAAGATGAGCAACGAATACCTAGAAAAAAAAACCAAAAATTTTCTAATGATATATTTATAGAGTTTGAAGTTGTCGTGTATTGTGCAAATCTTTTATGAAGGTAGCCCAACCTTAACAACGAAGAGAATGCCCTAAAATTTGATGAGATATTTCTATTCTTTTTAATAGATCTATATTTGTCTGAAATTTGATAAAATATTTTTATACATTTTTTAAAAAAATATTTGTAACGAAATAATAATGCAACGAAAAATTTAACGTAATATAGAATCTCTAAATATCCGAAAACTCGAAATTCTAGAAATGTTTTCATGTACAGTGTTTGTATTTAAATTACTATGTACAAGACAGCGGTGGAAATTCTTGAAAATATTTAAAACATCATGCGTGATCTTACAACATAGTCAGCAGAAGAATGTTATTATATCTTTATTGAAGTAATATCAAGGATACATGTAAAAACAACATGCGCGTGACAGGAAGATATTAAGAGCGCTCCCATGACGCAGACGTTCAATCAAATACAGCGCGTGAAGCTGCAAACATGCTACAATTCGATCACCGGTAATAAGCTTTTTCTATAAGTAGTGTAACAAAAAATACATAACCCCGACTACGGAAACGCATAAGTGACATCTCGACAATACTTTCAATGCAGGTGCGAATAAGCGTTATTTGTTTTGTATACATTTCCGGTAGCGTTGCCAATGCTAAATGTCGCAGAAAGAGGTGAAGTTTGCGAAAACGGACGTGACTTCGAACGCAGAAAGGTCATTTTGTATCAATACATTTTCAAGGATAAATCCAAGAACTAATATTTTTGTAATGAACAAATATTTTTTTATCCTTAATATATAACATGATTGCGCATGACGGTACTCCTTCTTTCTGTTGGTAATAAAGACAACAAGCTTTGAAATTAAAGTTATTTTATGCCTCTCTTTTCGGATGTTTTTTTTAAAGATATTTCTATATCAATGTCAATAAAAGGATTGTTTATACACGTTTAACCTATGAGTGTTGTGTTTTTAGATATCCTAAATTATCCCCCACAGAAAATAGTTCACGCCCCAATAGAGGAAACACTTTTGTCGCGGATAAATCCAAATGAGTCATCTGAAGTCATTTAGCCACCTGGAAACCAGGAGATCCATTTCTGTATCAGATAGTGGCCTTTATTTACAGGGCGGTTTTTATTCGCAATCGGTCTTTAAACACAGGTTTGTTTCTTGTAGGATCATTATTTTTCTTATTATAAATTGATAAGACCACGGATTTAATTACATTAATGCTGTGATAGCCCAGCGATGCGAAAATGATACTTATGATTGAAATTACATATGCAATAAATACAAAGTAATAAATCAAGGGAAACCACTCTCCTACAATTTCAAATAGCAAATCTGTTTAATTTACTGCCCTTTATAGAATGGCTGTTATTAACACTATAATGCTGAAATAATTAAATAAAATAACCAATGGAAAAAACAGAAATGAAACAAATTTAGTTAAAAGGTCCTACCAAAGACACAGTTTATGGAAGACGGTATGTATTTAGTTTAATAATGCTTTTAAATGTCACAGCTCCTTGCAACAATCATACTGGTAACATCAATAACAACGGCAACAAAGTTATCAAATTAATGCTACAGTTGACGTGCTTTTCTCTAAAAGATGAAGTTTACTTTAAAAAAATCCATAAACTACGTCATATGATTACTTAATTTTCAGCGAAAACAACAACAACAAAAACAAAAAAGACGGACAAAATTGCTCTGTAGAAATTTAATTCAATCAAATTATAGATAAAAAACAACAACAATAACAACAACATCACCACCACCACCAACAAGAACAAGGACATAAAAAACATATATATAAAAGAAATAAATAAATAAAAACATTTAAAAAAATCAAAAAGCTCGGTTTGTATTGGCATTCTTAAAGCTGCAGCGTTTCTAAATCCTTTACAATGAATATAACACACCGTATTACCGGCTCCAGTCATGACAGGTTGCTGCAGTGATGACAAAAATCTAAATTATACTGATTATTACAGGTAGGTTATATATTTACACTAATCAAAAAATGACAATTTCATTTTCATAAACTAACTGTACATTGACTTTGGATACTGTCAGGAATTTTGGACTCGTTTCCCCCATTTAATTAAAACTCAAATACACACATTGATGTGATAATGAGAAAATTTATACTTGTCAGATCTTTTAACTCATATTAAGGGGGTTTAATAACCCAATTTAGAGAAATAAGAATATAAGACTGTGTGTGTCCTACAGTTAATAAAACATCAGTCAACATAAGGCTTTTATAACGTCTTAGATCGATTTTTTTTCGTAATATAAATATACCAACCAAGTTTATAATAACCCATTTGTACTCAATGCAGCAATCTGTCATCCCTGGCACCGGTAACACCGTGTCTACAAATTAAACGTTCTTAAAGAAACAAGACTTCAATGAAGCGAAATAATTACGAGATATCAATACTTTTGCACAGCTGCCGTTTTATTGTCAAATAAACCTATATACTCGTATACAGAGAAATCATTACAGGAAACAAAACAAACGACATTTTAGCCGCGTCACGACAAAACCAAAATAGTGCGTTTGCGACCAGCATGGATCCAGACCAGCCTGCGCATCCGCGCAGTCTGATCAGGATCCATGCTGTTCGCTATCAGTTTCTCTACTTGTTATAGTGTTGGTTAGCGAACAGCATGGATCCTGATCAGACTGCGCGGATGCGCAGGCTGGTCTGGATCTATGCTGGTCGCAAACGCACTATGTTGGTTTTGTCGTGACACGGCTCATTTGTTTCGCAAAAATATCCGGGGAAAAACGTTGATCGTAAGGAAAAGTAAAACAATGATATTTACGTACAAACAAAACAAAAAGTGCAGAAACAGGGGAGCAAATATGCGACAGAAGATAAAACTATTTATATGGCCAACCGTACCATTTAAAGAAGCACATGTGTATATTTTATAATATTACACCAACTAAACATATTTCGTAATGGCACCGACTTTTCAAAGTTTCTGGTGGTAGACAAACCAAACCCATCGACAAAATCAAAAGGAAGTATAGACTTAAAATGTCTAATATCTAAATTTCTTCGTGTTTGAACAATCTGATTTGATCGTCTGAAAGTGTAACTAAATTTTCGGTTGCTTTGGACATTGGCTTTAAATAGAAGTTTTCAGACCCTAACACACTGTTTTTTTCCATCGTGTCACTAGCCATTATAAAAATGCGCAAGGGAAACGTATGGCAGCAACTTATAATTATATTCTGTCTTAAAGTAATATTTAAGCAATGTCTATGAGAAATGTGTGTTTGTGTATTTGAGTTTATTTATACTCACCACCGTTTGCCCAGTCCTCTAGAAGAGTGTTAGTCATTTTAGATTTTGGAGGATAGTGCACAACACAGATACAGCAAGATGTCCCATTTCCAGAAACTGACAAGTGTTTAAGCACTCATATTTAAAGTTTCATCCGAAAGACTGTTCAGTCATTTGAGTTGGTCAGCCCGGGAATCGAACCCACAACGTGAGATTACAAGACTAGCCTCGCGCTCTTATCAATTGAGCTATGTGGGTTAGCTCCAAAGAGAAATGTGTCCTACTGTATGAGATTTATTATAAAAAGACAGACAACTGGAATATGATAGCATTTAGTTGTAAGAAAGTAATCTCCCTTTATTTGGGATCGTATTGTTCTAAAATGTTAAAAACTTGTTTTTGTTAAACTTATACGCTTAATTTGCAATGTCGTCTGTTACTACTAAGAATTTGAAATGAATAACTTTCCCTTATAAATCAATGAATAACAAAATGCTTGAATTAAATAGCTAATATCAATCATGTAACAATAAATTAATTTTTTTTTATAATGCTACTACCTCTAAATATATTTTTTCTTATTATCCTGGTGTACAGTACGGCCACAAAGAATATAACATATTATTGTTACAATCTGTTAGTTTTAAAAGTGGTCTCATATGACGGTATTTCAATATAATACCGTAAAAATTGACCGATTTTAATAATAACAGATTTGGATAAATTGACTTTTTTTCTCACAAACCACACTAGCGGATAGTTGAATGTGTAGGGCTGGTACAGGATCGGAACGATCGCAATTTGCGGCCCCGTCCCCGAGCTCCTATGGATAGAAGCATGCCAATAACGTTCTAAATAGATCTAATACCCCGGTCACATATTCACGGAATACGCCCACGGAAGAGCCACGGATTAATTCCGGCATCGTCCGTAGCTACCCGTACTGGTCAGTAGCTCTCCGTATCGTAACCGTAATCAATCGTAGTAGTCCTGGTATATCCGTAGCGATCCTTGACAATTTTTGAACATGCACAAAAATTTGCTACGGAAAAATCAACCGTAGCGTATCCCTGCTAGTCCGTATTAAAACGTACCGATACTTACTGGTCCGTACGAAAAACCGTACTAGTCCGTACTGATTCGTAGCTCACCAACTTGTCAAGGATTTCCACGGTTTGGTACGGATAACCTACGTTTAAGCTACGGTTTTAATACGGATTAATACGGAAAGCCACGATCGTAATACGTTGTACTACGGAGAAGCAGGGATTAGCACGGTCTTATACGGTTATTTGCGTTGCAACACGGACTTGTACGGTCCACCACTGTTTAGAACGGATGAATTAAGTATCATGTACTTTCCAAGGGTACTACCTTCTTGTTAAAAACAGACATATTTGCGGGAACATTCAATAAATGATAATTGCCATTTACTGGCTGCAATTTTATATTGAAATGGCTCAGAATGCGCAGGCAGTGGTCGAGCTGCTAGATGACATGCATAGAGGTAAAATATATTAATATCGTACTACAATTCTTAAGTAATAGAGTAATAACATTTAATGTTAAACATTTTACAAACATTGAATCGTGAAATTTGAGTAAATATGTACATAAAACGAAGTGTCTCATAAGCCTTGGACACTGGCCCTTGAGTTATAAGAAGATTAATTAACAAGCTTTTTACATATTTTTAAAACATAAACATTCACGGTAATAAATATTATTGTAAAAAAACGGCACATTTTAAAATTAAAAGAGAAGCAGTTTTGATCAACACTTTTTTTAATGATTACTAGTCCATATCTAATCAGGTAAGAGAGGACAGGCAAGATGGTGGACTGGAGATGGGCTTTTACGAAGACCCCTTCATGTTTTTATGAGGCTCTCATGGCCGAACTTGTTATGGACCCAGCGTCCTTCAAGAAATTCTCTTTTATCGGACCTGATGTGTCTCGGGGGTCAGACGCGATCAGGCCGAATCCTCTCCGCCGAAATCATTCAACTCTGCAATTCGTTTTCCAGTTGTTCTTTTCTTATGGGGCATTTATGCAAGAGATTGTGGACGGATGTATTAGGTCCGTATAGATCCGTGGCAATTCGTTCTTCTCCGTATCAATTCGTTCTTCTCCGTATCAGACCGTACTTATTCGTACTAACCCGTGCTTATACCGTAGCAGACCGTAGTGTATCCGTAGTGCGTCCGTCCTAATTCGTGTTGCTCCGCATCAAACCGTGTCGGTCCGTAACAATCCGTGTCTCTCCGGGGGATTTTGGTGGTAAATCCGTCGGACTCCGTACTTATACCGTTGTGTGTCCGTACTGGAACCGTAGCGGACTACGGAATTTCACATTTCCGTAGTAATCCGTGAACGATTAGACCGTAGCTCTTCCGTGGCATTATCCGTGAATATGTGACCGGGGCTTAAGATAAAGATGAAACAAAAAATTCAAAGTATCCGACATTTTGCTGCTGGCTGATAATTAGACTACAGAATATTCTAGACAATTATATGTATTGATAAGCCAATTGTATCTTGTGTGAGAAATTCCTGAAAAATTGTTAAATTACACATCACACAACCGGTTATCGTTTTATCCAGTTTGATGACTGGATACGCTTATTAGCCTCAAGTATTGTAAATAGTCTTAATTACTTCCCCTTTATCTCCACATAATAAATAAAACATTAATTACTTCCATTTATTTCCACATAATAAATAAAACATTAATTATGGGGTTATTATAGTATAACTACATACATGTACATTATCACCGAAGTTGGCGATTATGGATATGAAGTTGATGATCATATTGAATCTAAAATGACAGTTATTTCAGCAACTTGAGTATGATTATATTACCGAATGTAATTAGTCTTGACAAACAATATTAATTCCAGGCCAGCCTGCGCTGGATGTAGCTAAGAGCCATGTCAGCTGTCAAAGTCCAAAATTTAATATAAAGTCTGTTGTGAAGTGCATATTTATGACAAATAGGAATGATCGTTTGAAAACATTTAAATATATCTATACGATTGACGTAACTAGACGTACACGTTAAAGGAACTGCATTGGGGTCGTAAAGTCTAAAAATATATAATTTGGGAAAAAAAATCATATAAATGATAAAAAAAACATTTATTATTTTAAAATGAAACAAAATCTGCAAAGGATATTGAAGAATTATACTGTACTCGGAATTAAATTTAATTTCGATTTTTGTGCAATTCTTCAGCCCGATTTCAATGAAAAGCGTTGCAACGCAAAAAACATAAACATTTAATAGTAATAATAATGTACGATTAAGCCATTCGTTGTTGATTTTTTATTCAGTTATGATATCAATAAAAACTTGCTTTTTTAAGTTTACAAATAATAAAAGCTACGACGAAGTTAAGATACCGAAATATATTTGTTAAACCGGAAAATATTGCCCAAAAAAGTAAAACGAAATATAATACTTTATTTAAACGCCCTTCAGCAGCGATAAACATCCTTTTTCTATACACGCTATTGAAATATTTTTACATCTTTTCAACCGGATCCAAATACCTTCATGTTTCAACTAGTCCTTTGATTAAAGATAACTTTTCTTACAAATACTAATACATGTATGTATATGTCATCAGTTAGCCTAGTATATATTCAAAAGTGCTAGCTTGTAAAGATTTACCTGCAGCTTAAACTGCTAATATGGCTAAGGATTATTCATTTATTTATTGCACGCACAGATGCTGCGGGAAGTAAATAAAAAAGTTAATAATAGCAGTTAAAAACGGATATATAGATCACGTGACAAAAATATTTTTATTAGTTTTAACACCACTATAGAGAAACAAGCTTTTCAATGTATATGTGTACATTGTATATGTAATATAGCCGGCAGATGTTCAGTTCGGAATATATTTAATTCATTTATATCAATTGATCCATCGAAATTGTCTCTTTTCACGGGATGAATAAAACTGATGTACGATTTATAAACACATACATACCTTATGAAAGTATGAATGTATGGAGTAAAGATTAAGGTGTGCAATATATTTAATATATTAAAATTATAGTATAAAATGAATAGCTGCGAGCATTTTGGATATAAATAAAATACTTCCAAGAAATGTGACATTCTTAAAGTACAATAGACATGGAGAATGGGAAAACACCAATGGAATATGAGCTCCATGAGAGGGCAAAAGATGGACCCGAAATCAAAAATGGAAGCAATGAAAAAGGTAAGAAGTTTGAAATTCGGTTCATATATAGCGTTTATACCATATTGAAATTGTTCTACCACAAGTCCTTTCGGTCGCAGCACCTACCTCACGACGCAACTGTGGCTTCTGTAGGATACTGAATGACCTGTTACCAACGCTTCATCAATATCCATCGAGTTAAAATTCCCCGAGGTAAAAGTGCTAGGTGACCTCATTAGCATGTGACATAGTGTGTTAATTGCATAGGATGTTTATTTTGTCTTTTGTCGCCACCAACACACAAATAAACAATAACAACAACAAAAACGTGTTAGTTAAGAAACACAATATTTATTTGCTTATATAGTCAACAACCACAAGTACTCCATTCTACAGTCTGTAATAATTTACCTCCATGAGTGACATGTGAAAGATAGTATTATTTTCATAGAGTTCAACAACATTTTTTGCATTACATTTCAAATATATACCAAAATACGCTATCAAATAATGGGTCTGGTGGCAGTCTGGATACTGGCAGGGTTTTATCTGGTCAAATTTACTAAATTGCATTTTAGATGGGTTACAGTTGGTAATAGCATTTTTACATGCATGCGAAGCTGTTTTACATATTTTGAAAACAGTTTATCCTGACAAACGTGCACGACGCTGTCTGTACCTGAATAACAAATATAAATTGGTTTCAGCCTTCCGCGCCATCTGTCACTCTATTCTACACTAAACACATTTCCTTTTTCTCCCTACTGTTAAAATAAATACAGGTCAACCTGTGTGAAAGGTCACTTCCGAGATACTAAAAGCATTGCACTTGCACAATGGATAAACGAATTGTCTTAACAATGTTTTGCAGCCTATGCAACTAAAGATGTACTTTGCATACCTTGCAGTAACAAGCACCCGCTGCTTTCGATAATTATACCTTTAAAAAGGAAGTAAAATATATTATAACTTGATTTTTATGTGTGCAAAAACTGAAAGTAGCCTCGTTCATACACCTTGACTTAATACCACTATTTCAGCTGCTTATTTTCATCAATTAAAGTGTGCAATAGTTTTCGTTTAGAGAGACCACCTTCCAACAAACAGCTATTGTATATTATTTAAAAGACGTTAAAAACGGGTTTGGCTATACATGCATATAAAAATCTATTGTGATTCTTTTAAAATGATGACTTGATGATAACTGGCATAGTCAAATAACAATTCAATACCTTTTTGGAGCATAATTAATTATATAAATACAAAACATAACGAATATGTTGGTTCTATATTTCATTTATATTGTGACGCAAAAACAAAGTCCAATACCCCGCAGCGTGTAACATTCATTTAGTTTTATAGTTAACCAGAGGCTTTACTTACGGTTGGATAAACATTGTCGGTTTACTATAAGGTCATATAACTATATTTATAACCGATATATAAATATTTTCATTCAATTCAGCAATGCTCATTCAAATAAAATGATACAAAATTAAATCAAATCAATATTTGTGTAGGAACTATAGTATAAGATTTATGCCAATCCGGTCGTAAAATCATATTGTTAATGGTTTAAAGCTGCATGCCTCCAGATGCCTGGATCATTTTAAACAAGGAATTATATAGTTGTTAAAGTATAAACTTTACTCGTAAATGATATATTTAAAATGATTGAGAGATATATAAGTCCGCCTGTTGAATTTCTGAATATAAATAAATAGATAGATTAATAAATAAATAAATAAATAAATAAATAAATAAATAAATAAATAAATAAATAAATAAATTCCGGTAACATAACATAACGTTATTTATCTACGTAACATTATTATTGTAAGTATGTTACATAACTTAACGTAATATAACATAACATAACACAATTACAATAAGAAAACAATAACATAACATAACAAGACATCAAAACATAACAAAAATATAACATAACAAGGTATCATTGCACAACAATGACATAACATAACATAATACATGTACAATACAACAATAACAAAACATAACATAAAATACAAACTTATTTTTTGGTTTAAGTAGATTTAATAATGTAAATGATTGTATACATATTTACATATTTCTTATTTTTGTTTTTGTTATTGTTCTTTATTCTATTTTTCTTTGCGTTAATTGAAATGAGAAATTTATCTTCCTTAAAAAAAACAACAATTCCTTAGATGAAATCGACTTTTGACTACTTTCTTGCCTTCATTTTTTAATTATCACTTTTCAGTATTTCTGATCGATTTAATACAGTTTATTTATCTTGGCCTAGGGTCAAAATATACACACAGTACAATAATTACTGACCTGTAACAGTGGCGACCTTAGTTGTATTACATACGGGTACATTTGATTTCTCGCTGCTATAGTTATATATGTACAACAGTGTGTAAATTATTTTTTTAAGCAGTATTTTGTGTGTGTGTTTCTATCTGTTTTTGTTTTTTAACAACTTTACCAGTTTAAATTGATTTTCTGTGACTTAATTTTTCCTCAGTATAAACTTTAAAGTGAACTACAGGTAACACCATCTAAACTTATTTATAAGAGTATTCCCAATAAATTAATGAAGAAATCAAATATCAATCCTATCAATTAAAAATACAAATTATTAGAATAACTTCTATTAATAAATAATCAAGGTTAATGCCACATTTCCATTCCAATATCTATGTTCATTTATGTTTATTTGATGTTAACTTATTTTTTTGTATTTTTCTATTGCCATGTATTTTTTGCCACTATACTTTTGCCACTGTCCAACCTTGATTTAGTAATTATTGACACGCATACCTCATTGATGCTCGCCAATTATTATTCTTATGACTTATACCCATATGGGTAATGATATTATGTCTTGGCGAGCATCAATAGGATCTTTCAATAATAGTCAGCAGTCTATGAATGTATATATTTTCAAGTCTTCAAAAATGTCAACGATTATCTTATGTTCGTTATTGTTGTGTGTGTTTAACTTTTTTTCATCAACGGAAAAACACCTCGAACTGTTTTTAAATTTTTCTTCATCTTTTTATTTTAACTGGAAAAACAAAATACACTCATATTCTTATTGTTTTGTAAAAAGGGTAACTAATATAACACATGTTTATAGAATAATGTATTTGCTATACATTATTTACCTAATTATTATGTCTGGCGATGTTGAATTAAACCCGGGACCAATCGTTAATAAAGAAAACTGCCTTTCCATTTTTCATCAAAATATTAGAAGCATAAGAAACAAACTGGACTATATAAAAGAAAATTTTTCAGATATGGATATTTTGTGTTTTACTGAAACTAAGCTAGATGCAAATTTTTTAGACAGTAATTTACAACTTTCGGGTTTTGACAATTTCTATCGTAAAGATTTAACGTGCCATTCTGGAGGTTTGCTTGTTTATGTTTCTTCTTTCATAAGACCAAGGCGACTTTTTAACTTAGAATATCTTCTTCCTGAATCTATTTGGATCGAATTCAAAGATAAAAATCAATCTTATCTATTATGCACAATATATAGGCCTCCCCACTATAAGGTTGACTTTTGGGATAAATTAAATAATTGTTTAGAAATAGCGTTAGAACATAACCAGCTTTTAATAATTGTAGGGGATATAAATGAAGATCAAATTAATACAACAAATCATAAATTTAAAGATGTTCTTTTAGTAAATAATATGATTAACATTATTGAATGCCCTACAAGAATTACTCCAAATACGCAAACATTGCTCGATCCAATTGCCATAACAAATAATATCCATGTTTTTGACTCTGGCGTTTTCGAAACTGTTAGCGAAATCAGCGATCATTTAGGAACATATATTTATTTATCGGTAGAATTTGATTTAAACAAACCTTTTAAAAGAAAAATTTGGAATTATAAAAAAGCTGACTTTGTAAAATTAAATTCATTGATAAGAAATACAGACTGGTCCTTTATTCAAAACAGTAATGTTAATGAGGCGTGCAGTTTATTCACGGACAAATTTTTATATCTAGCGAAACAATGCATTCCATCATATTATGCACTTATAAGGCCGAATGATAAACCTTGGTTTAACAGTAGTATACGAAAAAGTTTAAGACAAAGAGATAGGCTCTTTCATAAAGCATTAAATAGTAATAAAGCTTCTGATTGGATAAAATATAAGCACTCTCGAAATCAAGTAAATAATATGAAAAAAAATGCTAAAGAGATATTTTATAATAATTTAGAATTTTCATTGCACGATATGAGCAGTTCTAATCCTCGTGAATACTGGAAAATAGTTAAAAATGCTAGTAAAAGATAAATACAAATGATAATGAAAATCATACCTCCTCTTAAAAATTGTAACAATACTTTCTCCGTATCTGATATAGATAAGGCAAATACTTTAAATGAGTTTTTTAGTTCAATATCATGTGTTGATGATACAAATATAAAACTTCCACTATTTACTTTTAAAACTAATTCACGTCTTGAAGATTTTATAATTAATGAACAAGAGATTAAGGATACCTTATTGAATCTTGTCACCAATAAAGCTTCCGGCCCAGATGAAATCAGCCATAAAATGTTAAAGGAAACATCAGAATCTTTGTGTGTTCCACTTTGTTTACTTTTTAATCTCTCATTAAATGAAGGAATATATCCCGATAAATGGAAACTAGCTCATGTAATGCCACTTTTTAAAAAAGTGAATAAGGACGAACCATCAAACTATAGACCGATTTCTTTGATAAGCTGTGTTGGAAAAGTGATGGAACGTATTATATTTAAACATATGCATAACTATTTTCATATTAACTCATTACTATTTCAAAATCAATCTGGATTTTTGCCAGGTCACTCAACTGTTTACCAGCTTATTGATATTTATAATCAAATTTGTAAAGCTTTTGACAACAAAGAATCAACATGTATTATATTTTGCGATATCTCAAAAGCGTTTGATCGAGTTTGGCATAAAGGTCTTATCTTCAAATTAAAACAGTATGGAATTCTAGAAAAAAATTGATCTCATGGTTAAACAACTATCTTTATAATAGGTCTCAGAAAGTTTTTGTGTCTTCCTCTTTCTCTAATACTACAACATTACTTGGAGGAGTCCCCCAGGGATCCGTCCTTGGTCCTCTTTTATTTTTAATCTATGTTAATGACATTGCCGAATCCCTTCTAAGTGTAACTAGACTTTTTGCCGACGACAGTTCGTTGGCAGTCTCATCTAAAGTTGTCTCGTATATGGAAGAAATTCTTAATAAAGACCTTATCACAATTACATCATGGTCTAAACAATGGCTTGTTAATTTCAATCCAGCAAAAACTGAGGTCATGTTCTTTTCATTTTGTAATCGAAATAAACCGAATCTTTTTTTCAATAATGTACAGCTTAAGTATGTAGACCACCATAAGCATTTAGGGGTAACATTCAGTCAAGATGGGTCATGGCATGAACATATATCTATTATAGTATCCAAAGCTGCAAGAATTCTTGGTTCAATGAAAATGCTAAAATTCAAGGTAAAAAGATATACTCTAAATAACATTTACATATCTTATTTACGTCCACATTTAGAATATGCATCTTTAGTATGGGATAATTGCACACAGCTTGAAAAAGAAACGTTAGAAAAAATTCAGTACGAAGCAGCTCGCGTGGTAACTGGTTTAACTAGATCCGTATCAATTCAATATTTACTTAAGGAGATAGGATGGGTTTCACTTTCAGACAGACGACAAATTCAAAAACTAGTTTTAATGTATAAAGGAAAATATAATTTATTACCACAATATCTTATGCAACTTTTTCCACCATCTGTCGAGATGGCGTTAGAAAACCATTATTCGTTAAGAAATAATAGTGACTATATTACTTTAGCCAGACGTACCGAAATTTACTCAAAATCAGTCATTCCATCAGCTATTCAATTATGGAATAATCTTCCGACAAACATTCGCGAATCACAATCGCTAGCTATATTTAAAAACAAGAATAAACAGTTATATAAACCTCCAGTAGTTCCATCTTTTTTCTTATACGGAGATCGTTCCTTAAATGTCCACCAAACCCGAATTAGAAACAATTGTAGCAACTTAAATAATGATCTTTTTATTAACCATTTAGTTTCAAGTCCATTATGCCAATGCGGCGCAGACATCGAAAATGCGGAGCACTATTTTTTCCGATGTAAATTATATACTATGCAAAGACGTATACTTTTTTTGAATACCAGGTCATTTCATCCTCTCAGTTGTCAGAAATTATTACACGGTATTGACGGACTTGCAGAAGCCGAAAACATAAGACTATTTCAAGAAGTGCATAATTACATCAAAAGTAGTAGAAGATTTACCTAATTTTGTTTACACATATACTATATTTATTTTCATATTAAGTTTATTAAAATACTGCTGCAAATCAAGGTTTGGTGCGTTTATTATAGTGGCAAATTGTTAATGGCATATATTTTTTTTTTCCATTTTACCTCATTAAGTCATTTTGTAATTTTCTTTGTTTTTTAGGTTAAGCGATTCTTTTCTACCAGTTAAAATACATGAAATTAATATCGCTTATCATATAAATAAATATCTCAGAATTTCTAAAAACCACATTTACTTACTATGTTTCCATTAAACCAACAAGATAGACCTTCAGGGGAGGACCCTAGATAATGTTGGTATAACTTTTGGTCCAACCCTTTTGTATGTACATTATATTCATGCTTAAGATATTGATGTTAGATTGTGTAAATTAATCATGTACAAAATATGCAATAAAATATTATTAAACTATAACATAAAACACATAACATGACAATAAAAGGGCATAAGAAACAAGGTATAATATCGTAACAATGACATAACATAACAATGGCATAACATAACATATAACATAATAACATAATTTAACATCATAACATAACATAATACAATACAACACAATTCAACATAACAATAACATAACATAACAATAACAAAACATAACATATAACACATAACATTACATAAAAAATAACAATAAATTTACAATAACATTACAATAACATAACAATAGCATAACATAACATATAACAAAACATAAAATGATATATACATGTAATTCATAAATATTATGGTATAACTATGAATCCTACATTGATAAAACTCCAGCGATACGTGCTTTTGTATAAATTTTATCTAACATTCAGTATACAATACAACACACAATGAATATATGTATATTATATATTTGTATTGAACAGTAGAACAGCTGTCTACATGATGAAAAGTGAAGTCTCTATAAGATAACGTTTTCTGCCTTAGATATCAGCGTTATGTATACAATATTTGTTATAGAAAAAAAAATATAGTTTTTTGATCATTTTAATTAGATTTCACTTTGCTTGTAAAAAACCTTGTCATTAGTGTTTCTACAGACTTCCAGTTCGACTAAAATCACGTAAAACTGAAAAACTCGACTTTAATACGTAGAGTGTCTGTCATTCATGACAGATTTCATTATGGCAGTAAATGTAATATGTGGCCAAAAGGTTGTTCAATTCTCACTATGTAACAGCTGAATCTGACATTCTATCGGTTATGATTAAATTAAAATATTCTTCTCATCTTTTGATCATGTTGATTATGATGAATGCAATTGCTTTGGTTAAAGGTGTTACGAGTTAACTGAAATAATTGTATGACATACTTTCCCTAGAGTAAAAAGGTGACTACCTTAAACCCATATACAGCAGGTTCAAGTCCGACTGGGATTTATTAACCTGACCATTTATATGACACCAGGTCTGGGTAGTTGCACGAAAAAAAGGACTCGAGAGTTTATTAATTAAGGCTCGAACTTACGTAAATATCCGGCTAAAATATGTATAAACTTTAAATAAGAATCAGAGGATTGAACAAGGCTTGTTTTGTAATTTATGCTCTTATTTTTAATTGAAAGTATTTTATGCTGAAAGGAACTACACTGAGGAACTGGACCCCGAAAATATAAAATTCTTAAATATATAAGCTAGGGCACTTAAACAGAAAGATTTATAAAAGAGAATTAAGAAACATACTCAGGAATAAATCGAAAAATTGATTTTTGTGCTATTCTTAGTCCGATTAAGTGAAATGCGCTGCAACGCTAGGCTTTTAAACACTTTATCACGAGCGTAACAGGTTCTCTAAAAAAAGATTTTGTGCCAGGCGGTTCTGAAGAAAAATACTTTTGAAAACATTGTCATTTATTAGAGATTTTCGGCCGTGCGACCACATACATGCAATGCAAGATGTACATTTCCAGTTTTTCGGAAAGGAACATTTAGCCACACCTTTTCCATTCATTGCTACGTCAACTGCTCACTAACAGTATTACAAACATAACCATGTGTTCTTTTAAGCAAACCAGGTCAACCAGAGACTATGTTTTATCTCAGTGTAGCAAGTTAACCAAGTTAGCCAATTTACATAAAACTGTAAACACTGGAAAGGTCCATTCCCCTTCAAATATTATGCTTTGGCATTTTTGCCACAAAGTACGCATTTAATTTCTTTATTCGTCTTTTTCTATTTGTAATACAAATAGTTATGTGATGGGCTGCAAGAATAAAAGAATAGTTACATTAAACTCAAGGGTGTCATACGATGCGCGCGCATCCTCAAAATTCTGATACCGCGAACACTTTTACAACCGGTGTTTTGAACAAAAAAAAGTCATGTAAAGCAATCTGAATAGATTGGAATTTAATTTCTTGTGCAAAGAAGATGGCCTTACTTCTAGTGTTAATATACACAAGTCTTCTCTTTCTCGCCAGTATTTCGCGTTGAATGCGATTTTTGGTTACAGAAATTGAGAAATTGTCGATTAAACTGAAATATTCACACATCTGGAATTTAGTTTGTTGTAAAACCTATTTCATAAATATATTTTAAATCTTGGTTATTTTTCCTTTGTATGTAAAATGTGTTAAAACGAACTATTTACTGGAAATAGACATTATGATACTGCGTACAATCTCAAAAAATTCTTTAGGGAAACAAGTTCACCATTGCTTGTTAAATCAACTTAAACAATGTAAAATGTCTTTTGTATATCAATTTGTTTGGTTGTCTTTATAAATCTCTTGTCTCACAGTTTCTGATCTAATGATTATTTACACATGAGCACAACTGTGAAATTTTATATGAATGTTTCTTTCCAGCTGTAAAAACACGTACATATATAAACCTCCAAACAACAACTTGATATTGTCACAAAGGCCTTAAACTTTACGTCACATTTTCAGCAATTCTACTGGACAAAGCACACAAAGTATCAGCCAATACAGCGGTAAAGTTACGTATAGCCGCCATAGCAATATCATGGGTCTCATCCATCGTCTCCGGCATACTTGGTGTCGTCGCCATAGGTACGTTTAAAGCTGCTTGTAATACTAATTTGTTGATACTATTTTAAAACCGCCATGAGTTGACACTTACTTTGCTGTGATACCTAAGTATATAGATGTCCGTTCCAAGCAATCTGTATCCAAAATATAAGACTTAGACAATACACTGTTTCTAGGACTTGAATATTGCATTAATTGTGTTTTTATTCTTTTCAAAAATGAATTTATTTTCAGTGTTTGCCGCCCTGTATGGCAGCCAGTCGTTGTTTAGTTTTGGAGTGAGTACAGTTCCTTTTATTAATGTTCTTTAAATAGACGAACTGCAATCTTGTAAACGGAGGCTGTTTTGGATCATCAAAATGTGATAGTAGAAATGTATTATCAAACACTTTGAAATGATTCCTAAAAAATGTTGTGTAACTTTATTACTAAATTTTAGTCCACTATAACTCAATTAACATGTGACTGTACTATACAATTGGAGTTTGCTTTTATCAATGATACAACCATTGAATGCTTTATTTCTAGTATGTTGCAAGGGTTATTTATTTGATTTCGTTACTATTGAAAGACATAGCTTCATATGTTAGCTTAGATGGACGCTCTTCTTACTAGGAAAGAATTCACAACACTTGTTTTCCGACACTTTCATTTCGTAATTAAATAGGACAAATATTTTGTCTCTCCAACAGTTGGACTCAATCCTTGACAGTATCTCATCAGTTGTTATTTTATGGCGATTTCATGGTCGTGATACAATTTATTCCAACACAAGGGAAATAAGGTATGTTATCTACCACTCATTGTCCACAAAACTTAATTAATTAATTAACTAATAAGATTAATTAATAAAGTTTTTTTTATCATACAGTACAAACTCTGCAGAGTAACACCCTTTGTGAGTCAAAGACTTTAGTTGTTGCTGACAGGTATTGCTCTAGAGAGTTTGAAAAATTGTTTGCAAATCCTACTGTTATTGTGAAGAGGTTGTTTTTCTACAAAGATCGCTCACCATGCTTTATTCTATATAAAATAACATTACATAATATTGTATTATTATATAAGGTTATTTTGAAGTGTTCTGTCTAATACGGAAATAAATTATGACCGTAACCAAGCTGAAAAATATATTGGATAACCCACCATGCAAGCCTCAAGAAGTTATTCAGCCAGACATTATTTCAAATATATTCCGCTCAGAACACTATTTGGAAACATATTTATTAACTAATACCTATTTAATTTTCTGTTACCATTTATAGTAAATTTGTTTTCTATAGTTCGGCTTTGTATTCAATACTTTTCAGGGCATGCATAATGATAGGGGCGCTGTTTGTGCTGTCTGGTCTATTGCTTTCAATAAGATGTGTTTATGCCTTAGTTTGTGTTGAAATGCCAAGAAAGGTAAAAAAAAGCTATTCTTTTAAAACCCCGAATAAAACTGTTTCATAGTGAAACTATTTATAATTCATCATCATCACCATCATTATCATCATCATCATCATCATCAGGATCATCATCATCATCAGAAGCAGCAGCAGCAGCAGCAGCAGCATCATAAAACCATTATCATCATCACCATCATCATCATCATCAACATCGTCATCGTCGTCGTTGAATAAAAGCTCAACCTTCACCACCACTAACACCACCACCACAATCATCATCGTCATCGCCATCATCGTCGTTTTCGTTGATGTTGTCGTCCTCGTCGTCGTCATCATCTTCGTTTGAAATCATCATTTAGACTGATAATTGTACCTGAGAAAGTAATCATTGCTATAGCTTAGATATAATCAACATAAATTTCATAGTTATTTTCATCATGAATTTCTATTTCAAATAATTATAATTAACTTTAACCACTAAATATCATTTAAAATAAACACGTGTCTGGTGAATCATAGAAAAATGCTCATCTAACAAATTTTTATGACACTCTCTAAATGTTTAAAAACTAAGCATTATTTGTTTATTATAAAAAATGTTTGTTACATTTTCAGCCCGCCATTATCTTAACAATGGCTTCCATTAATGCATTTTGTTGCCTCGTTCTTGGGAGTGGTAAAATTTATCTCGGACTTCAGTTGGAGAGCCGAGCTCTTATTATAGATAGTAAGTACAGATTGTGAACTGATAAGATATTTTGTTCAATAACTGGGAATAATGAAATTGTCTTTTATTCTGCAAGTTAACAGACATTGAATGATGTAGGACCATGCATTTACTCTCTACCATTTTCCTTTTAATTTTTTGTAATGACCTTTTCCTGCTTTGAATTTGGAATTGTCGGTAAAGGAGATTTTAATAGCAGATTGCTTACGTAATCAGCTAGCAGTATCGACTCAGTCCTGACAGCACAGTAAAATAGGTAAATCAAACCGAGTATGCAATATTCATTTAATTTTGTTGTGACTAATGCTTCCGAGGGATCGCCACATCTTTTGGCATGATTCTAATCAGTCAGGTGGTATACAAGCTGAATTAAAATTACACGTAAAACATTAAATAAGTAGAGTGTTAACACTATTATCATATAGGAAGTAAAATGTTAACCGAAAGAGTGAAAATGCCAAAAAAAAAAAAAAAAAAATGTGATACAAATGTATGGTAATGGTAGGTGAAATTGTTAACACAGCCAATAGTGTAGCTAAAATGGTAAACCATTCATCGTTAATATACAGAATAGGAAAGATGTAAACACACAATAAGTATTAGAAGTAAGTAATACAACGCACAGAAATAATATCCGTTTCAATATTTACAATAATCAGAGTAATTTAAAAGCACAAACATTACAACATGTACAATGTTATTTGAAAAATTAGAGGAAAAGCCTAAAACAATAAACTTGAATTTCTTTAAGAGAGCTGTGACGCTTATAACAGAAAAACGATATGAAACATAATTAGGAAACATACTTGAACATTTATTTTTTGCGCTATTCTTTACCGATTTTGAGTGCAAAGATTATCTCAGAAAATTATTCCTGTCCAGTCGTGCCAAAAAACCCTCAGCGGATTCCCTTAACAATGTAATTTATATGAGATACATTAATATTAACCACATGAACAATTTAAAAAATGTTTCGCTTAATACACAATGTCTAACTATCATTTTTGAATATGTTTATATTACTGATACTTTGTAATTACAATTACGTTTATTATGTCCCTTATATTAGATCAGATTGCGTCATGTTTATTTTCAGGCATAATAACTTTTACTGGTGCTGTGATGTCAATATTTACTCTTATATTTTCTGCTGTTTACGAATACAACAAACAGTTTTGGTACCTCGACGATTCATTTGGTCTTTTATGTGCTCTTTTCCTATTTGGTTACGGTATCAGGTACGTGAATATTCTTTATAATCCATAGAAGCATGATTGGTCCGTAAAAATAATGTACAGAAAAATTCAAGTTACTGTTTAGCCCATTATGTATTCTTTCGTACGTTAAATCATGTTTTAAACATAAGACTGAATCGTTCATTTGACAACTTTTCACTCCAACTTTGAACTTAAAATGAAGTCATTAACCTTATTATATCTGTTTATTTTAATATTTATATGCCATATTTATTTACATAACATTGCTGTAGGATTAGGATTACAGGGGGGAAACATGTAACAGCTGATTCATTTAGTTTCACTGTTTCATAACAATTCTGCAATGTCATAAAACTGAATTACAATTGTCAAAAAATGATCTGCGGTTTAAACGAGTGAAAGCAAAAAACATGTTACTTGCCTTTATTCAAATTTCTGTTCAAAATATTTATTTGCAATACATATATTATATTTAAATGTTTGAGTTATTTTCTTGAAAGTGAGCATAAATTTATAATACCGGTAACACATATTCAATTTCTTTAGTAGACAACTTTTTGCAAACTAATACATAAATATATGTATCCGTCCAAATGTTTGTAAAATTTAAAAGGAAATGCATGCTTTCGTAGATCATTTACAATGTACCTTAACAATATTTATGGTAATTCGTTTGGAAAACTTCCTTGACATGTTATGTCGGCTGGATTAATGTTGTCAACTCGTTTAATGACGTTTTCATTATGTAACATATGTTGCTATTATTAATCGCGCGACATATCCTTTTTCATTTATGTCATAAGCATTCTTTGTAATAATGTATACACTGTATTTTGGATAGAATCGCGTGTGACCTGTATTGGTGTCAATAAACTATTTGCCCTAAAATGTCAAAAGTTGTCAAGATTTTCAATATATTATTTCACACTAGGCCTATATTCTAAATATGCGATATGAAATCACGCAAAAAATGCTAAAGGGATATTCACCGGAAATCATAAGAGTTTGTGATACCTTTTGAAAATACTTGCTCTGTATCCTGATGGATTAAGGCATCACGTTTTATATCATTTCACTAAAATCGTATTCCTTTTTGTTCTGGAACAATACTTCCATATTTTCAGCAAATTATAATCATATAACTGCCCTATTTTTATTGACGATGAGGCCGAAAGGCATCGGGCGCCTTGCCGCCAACCAAATTGTTTAGGAAAATATGAGCAAACTCAGTGATATTACGCTCTCATGCCATTACTCGTTCATCGTTAGCTTACTAAACCAATGTCGCGGACGTGTCCTTTTTTCTTTGAATTCGGTAATGATCATTTTAATTCTTAAAGATTTCACTATAATAATTTCAAAATTATAGGGCAGCCAACAATATGGTCTGATTAAACTTGATGCATGGCTATGCTGGCATGCCAGGATTTATACTGGAATTATATGTCAGCAATTGTAAATAAGACATGTGCTTCTTGATATGTTACCTTCATGCAATAAAGTGATCATTATTATTTTTTATTATTATTATAAATTGACATTATAAGTCTAGCATTCAAGGAGTTAAATGTCCTGACAGAAATTACAAACTGAAATGTCATATATCAGATTATAAAAATATCACTATTAGATGCTGCTAATCGTTGTTTTCCCTTTTTATCTTTTTCAGAGTTATTGTCATATCCAGGTCAGAGCTAAAGAAGCATGAAGAAAAAGAAAATGATTAGATTTTCCACATGTTTCTTAATCTTCAATATTAAATATTTATCATTAGTTAAAATAATACAAAAAAATATTCAACAGTGCCTTTTTATTCATATTTGACAATCGTGTTTTTGAAACCTTTCCTTTAATTTCTCGTTTCATTGAGGTGACTTTTGTTGAAGCACCAAATATGTTCATCAACTTTGTTTGTTATTTTTGGAGAAGGATTTTAATTGTTTTTACTAATTTTTATGAAAGGTTATAAATGTTAAAATTAAAATTGTTGCATATGTTACTTGAGTGTTTTTCTTCTGTATATTTTCATTACGAACTGTGGTAAGTTTAGTTGTTTTGCGTTCATGAGTTGCTGCAAACAGTCCAAAAAAATTACCGCAGCAGCAATCATGTTTTCTTATAAGAATCTTATGTTAGCGGTCTGTGTTATGAAGTAAGTATGTCTTAACAAAAAGAAGAAAACTTCAATATAAAGACATGCTGACGCTGTAAAGGGTATTTTAGACCAAAGTAGTCTAATAAATCAATTATATACCCTACAACAGTACAATTTCAAAAATGGATATTTCGACTTCATATGAAAGATTTACGCCTACTGATGAACATGCAAATACCGGTATCTAAAATATTCAATGAAAATTTATGGTAGATATTCTTTTGACTTACCTTACATCAGTTGGTAGTGTATCTATCAATAAGATATTTGATATATATATATTTTAATACATTTTTTTACATCTTACAAATTTACTTAAACATATTCTCTCTCCATTTTTCATTTATGTACATGGACTTTGGTATGATTTAGATGCAAAGGTACAAATACCGGTAACACAGTCAAAAAAGCTTTTGGCACATATAGTCTACTTTGTAGGTAATATAATAACACTGAAGGAAAACGCCCTTAAGGGTAAAGAGTAATATTAAGTTAACAGGTTTCTCCATATGTATTCCGAAACAGAAAGGGAAATAACCATTCTAAAATAAAAGACAAGGAACAAATTCCTTACACCCCCTTGTTCAGTAAATATGAAATCAAGTTTATACCATTGATATGATAACACTATACAGTACATAAAAAACAACAATTTCAGACATATCTGTGTTAAAATGGATTGAACTTAAAAATGAAGGTATCAAAAAGGCAAAAACGGCCAACATACTATGTTTATTGTAACAAAACGTTAAAGCTCCATGCTGATTTTCATGAATTTTTTGAAAATGTATTTTAAATTATAAGGTTGAAAAGTGAAGAAAGAAACTAAAAACGTATCTTCTATTTAATACACATAAATATTGTACCTAAATGGATTAAAATACTCAGTAACAAAATATGAAGCTGCGATTTTAAGTTGAATTTTTAATCGTTTAGCAATGATTTATTGCAAGCACCATTTGCTTTCAAGGAAACATACAGGCATTTTCATTTCACACAACTATTTTGGAATAACTCTTGTCTAAAATTCAAAGTTTGATTTTGTAAAATAAAGCAAAAGATATGCAGCTTTTTACATTTTAACAAATTCTTTTTCAAGTCATCCTAACAAAGTCTGTGTAAAAACAAGAAAAAAAAGGTCGCGTTAGAGTCAGTGTCTAAAAAAATCGAAAAAGAAAAAAATGTCAAAAAAGATCCAGGCAGTGTCAAAAAAAGATTGGGTCATTGTAAAAAAATACCAATCATTTTCAACTACAAGAAAATCTAATCTACATGAATGTGTTATTTATTGTGAATGACAAGGGTACGAGACTAATTTTCTTATCTGTGATAATCTTCATTTTGACCAGACAGACATAATTATTTCACGCAGTATAACTCTTCTTGATTAATTGTAATAATTAGTTTTGGCTAGTGCCATTTCTCCTTACTTTTCTATATGTACAGCTTAATAATATATAAATTGCCATAGAACAGTAAACAAAACTTATTGATTTACGATGACAAATGTGTGACATTTTTATCTACTTCGTACTGAGCTATGTTGACCAGACAGAAATATTGAACAAAGTCACATCTTGACCTAAAATATTGTTACCATATGCTGTACATATCCAATCCAAATTTCGCACTTCTGTTTCGTCAGCAATTTTTGGAAGATGATAGATATGTCACCTGAGAAGAAACAGAAAAAGCCCAATTCAGTCGTAAAAGTCAAATATCGAATATGTAATACGTGTGTGATATATATTTGGCTGTAAAACTGGCAATTGTATCATATGATATACGCAACTGGCTATGTCCACAATTTACACCTTAGAAACCTATACGTTTTGTACTTCGTAGTACAAAAACGCTTTACACTAGAAATTATACTCTAATATTCACAATTTAACTGGATCTGAATCAAACAGCCATGATAGTAAATGATAGGAAGATCACCCACTGGAGTCTCCCATTAAATATGTTTTGATAACTTTGAGTGTAAGTTGACCAATTTGCATCACATGTACGTTTATGGTCACGAATGGGGCTGGCGGTTTTGGCGACAATTAGATCACGATACTATCATAATTGCGCTTAGAAACTCATACATCGCATCTCTACATCAATAAGACGTCAAATAAAATTCAGAAACATATCATTAGCTCTATCCGAACAACTATTTAAATGAAAGTTTATGTCCAGTAAGAAGATTCAGGAATGGCGTTCAATTTGATTCGGACAGTTAGTTTAAAAGTGAAACGACTCTTAATGACTAAGGGTCAGAAAAATATCGGACCACTTTTTTAAAAAAAATACAGTAGTTCTTTCTTTAGTTTATAGAGTAGTGTATGTTTTAAGGAATCGCAAGACAATTACATCAAAAGCTATTGATTTACAAAGACGAAAGTGTGACTCTCATTATCCTCTGCATAATGAATTATGTTGACCAGACATGATTATTGAACGGAGTTACACTTTTCTTAATTAATTGTTACCATAGTCCAATGCATAATAAAAGTAGTGTTGGCATTTGTACAATACTTTTGAAGTTCTTCTTCTCCGGATGAGGCGAACGTTATGATTGTGTTAAATAGATTAGAAACGAAATAAAAGAAATCAATGCTATGAACGAAGTATATGATGCCTTTTAAGACGGTCATTAATATTCTTGTCTGATAGGGTACATTAGTAAATATAGCATGGACCTAAGATTTGTTTACCGATGAAGACAAAGGTAATGAAGTTTAATGTTCTCTGTGTTGCAATTGGTTTATCAACATTATCCTTGTTCATTAGCGGGACATATTTTAAGATAACAAATTGTAACATTCTAAACACATTCTTAAACAAAGGAAATGACCTATTTTCTCCTTCACATATATTTTTTACCGATGCTCAATTTTGAGATTCATATGGGGTTCCACACCCGTTTACAAACTTTGGCTATTTATGCCTATGTCACAAATGACAAAAAGCCGCAGGGCGGCGTCTATTTTTCCAGAAAATCGTAATATCGGCCGATGTCCGTCCGGCCACCGTGACAATTGGATGGCTGCAAATAAAAAATTTGCTCATCGAGCGGGCGCCGTCGGGTTTTAAGTACTACTTATGCCTAGTGACAGCAAATTTTCCATGAAATAAGGTATTTTATACACAAAATAAAATAGAGAAAAACAGAATCCCTAAAGAAAGCCCAACACGGCAAAATTGAAAATGTTGCAGACTCGGTTCGATTAAGCCTGTTCATGGACGGTACTGGAAAGTGCAAGTTACTGTCCACGCCCCCTAGCACCGGCTTAAGCAGAATTCAACATTTTACATGAACTGGTACAATTTGGAATTTTGAAACATGTGTTCATATGACGGTTATCATGGAATTTTCAATGTGACACGTAAATGCCATTCCATGAAAAGCGGCATATGGTCCCCAAGTAAAAAAATGTGTGTGCCTTAAACGAGAAAACAATGGGCTTCATTCCATATTCCAAACCACATTCCGCTTTTGCTCTTTATCATGACTAAAAATCTGTGATGAAGAAAGAATCCTTTAGTCCAAATTTCCGCACCGATCAATCCAATCATTTTCAAGGATAAGAGGTTTAGGGAAATAAATAACCGCTCATTTGTCTGGATGCTCAATCAAAACGGATTGCATTTGATGCAGGTGAAGCTTTAATAGGGAGAAATAAATGTCTCAGAACGCTCGAGAGATTTTATTCAGTTAAGCAGACATAAAACAGAAGTACTTCGTTCATTTATATCCCATAATTGGCTATTTTTGATTTATAGTCTATTTTGTTCAGAGACAAAGTGCAATACATGACAATATATTCTCGGAAAGAAGCTTCTTATAGCAACAAAAGTATTGGAATGCCACGTAAAGGGTTTTGGAGTGCATGTTTTATCATTTGGAAAAGGATATCGAACTAGCATACATAGAGAATGACATGCGTCATTTGCTATCAATTTTATCAGGCGAGGCTGATATGGGGATTGCCGAGTAGTTTGATATCAAATGACATTTGCATGTTTTTGTAATTATCATGTAATACACAAAGTGTCAAACTACAATATAATAAAATTAAACATAGCGATTTTTGTAGAACGAGACATTTGGTTTGTACAAAGATATAATTCTTCGCCCCTGAAACTTAGAATCAACTTGAAGATGGCGGCCTTTTTTTCTATCGACACAAGATTATTTCCTTTGATAATAGATACTACATTTCCGTCAATGAACATGCTCAAGGCCTACAACTGGCAATGGATTTACAACAAAGGCGTACTTTGAACTTTAGCTTTTACGCTTTTCTTAACAAGACTCTCGATTTCAAACCCAACAAACATCTCTCGCAGGTTTTTTTTTTCAAAACAGTTTTAGAAGGAAAACTCTGTAAAGAAAGTCTATTTCCTAAAAAAATTCTGCAATAAAAATTTCTGGAAAGAAGTGTGTATATCTGGAAAAAAATGATCCATCGGAAGCATTTAAATCAGCAAAATTACATGAAAATTGCAGACGCGGTTTGACGCGGTGGTTCCAATATTCCTACATGAATAATGTTGAATCACCCTTAGGATATGTTGCCTGCTTTTTTTTAAAATTGTCTTTTGACGTCTTATCTGTGATACGCAGGCTTCATAACCTCTGATCTCCTTTCAAAATTCCATTTTATTTAGTTCCGCCCATTGTTTTCTCGTTTAGGGCACACGCTTTTTATTACTTGGGGACCATACGCCGCTTTTCATGGAATGGCACGGAAGTGTCACATTGAAGGTTCCATGATAACCGCCGTATGAACACATCTGCGGATGTTTCTAAATTCAAAATTTTACTATTTCACGTTTAAATGTTGAATTCTGCTTAAGCCGGTGCTAGGGGGCGTGGACGGTAGCTTGCACTTCCCAGTACCGTCCATGAACAGGCTCAATCAAACCGAGCCTGCAACATTTTCAATTGTGCTGTGTTGGGCTTTCTTAAGGGATTCTGTATTTATCTATTTTTTGAGTCATGGTCACGTGTCACAACAGTTTTTTGGAAAAAATCCCGGCATTCTGTACGTCCGGGTCGTATATCAATGTTCGTTAATGAATAGGTTTCAAGCTTTTAAAGTTTACATCGAGATACTTGTTATCATATATGTGATATAATTCATCAATTTTAATTCTAGTGCCATAAATGTCTAGAAATATCAAAACCAAAGCAGTTCATTAGTTTAACCGGATTTCGTGCGTTCCGGATTAAAGGTCGCATTATTGTCATAAAAGAAAGCATACCCTGTTGGCAGAAAAGCGAACTGTCTGTTTACAGAGCTTGAATGTTACATACACTGCCATTTTGATTTTTTTCCACTATAAAATGTTTTTGAAAAGCGATTTGAAATTTAATGAAAACGGTAATTTTGGTTTTTGTGATCTTCTGGAGACATGCTGCTTGAATATTTTCTCTTCTATCATAAATTACCTTTGGAGTTTTGGCTACATGCTACAAGAATACAGATGATAATAAAACAGTAGAACTTCATGGTATCGAACTTCGATAAAACGATTATTTTCTCTACGTCCCTTCAACTTCGACTTATCATATGTCTATTGTGCTCAAATTCGAATTTGCAAATTTTAATGATGTTTAAAATCATTGTTTATAAGTAGATTTTCTGAATGAGTAATCGACATAAATAAAAAAGACACTCGCACTGTATTTCAGAATGTGGCACGATAAAATTCCTTAATAGAGTGTATCAGTTGCAGTTGCATTGTCAACAAATAAAAACAGAGACACCATAAAATAGTTAAAGGATATCTATTGAAAGATTCGAAACCAAAGATAGAAGGAAAACAATATGTAAAAAGCATAGTGTCCTATTTCAAATAATTGTCATCGTACTTATACTGAAAGCGTAAGTGAAGTAGAAATTGTGTATATGTTTCCTATCAAATGATGTCCCGAAATTGTGTTCATCTCCTCCATCAGTATTTTTTGTTTATACTAGTCTAATAACTTCACTCGTGTCTTCTTCATCCTCCGCTTTGCCATGAAGTTGTTCAGTAGAATCTACTGACACAGTTTCATGTTCCTCACTTAAACTTTCATCCCGCATAATGCCTCCCGAATTTGAATTTGTTTCACTTATCTCTTCATCAAAATTGAATGATGAGCCTTCTTCCTTCCCTTCGTCATGTAGTTGTTCAGCAGAATCTTCTGTCGCGGTTTCACCTTCTTCACTTAAACTTTCATCCGACATGAAGCTTTCCGAACTTGAGTCGGTTTCACTTATCACTTCATCAGAATTGAATTCTGAGTCTTCTTCCGACCCTTCGTTATCAAGTTGTTCAGCAGAATCTTCTGTCGCGGTTTCACCTTCTTCACTTAAACTTTCATCCGGTATATAGGCTTCCGAACTTGAGTCGGTTTCACTTATCTCTTCATCAGAATTAGATTCTGAGCCTTCTTCCGTCCCTTCGTCATCAAGTTGTTCAGCAGAATCTTCTGTCGCGGTTTCACCTTCTTCACTTAAACTTTCATCCGGCATATAGGCTTCCGAACTTGAGTCGGTTTCACTTATCTCTTCATCAGAATTAGATTCTGAGCCTTCTTCCGTCCCTTCGTCATCAAGTTGTTCAGCAGAATCTTCTGTCGCGGTTTCACCTTCTTCACTTAAACTTTCATCCGGCATATAGGCTTCCGAACTTGAGTCGGTTTCACTTATCTCTTCATCAGAATTAGATTCTGAGCCTTCTTCCGTCCCTTCGTCATCAAGTTGTTCAGCAGAATCTTCTGTCGCGATTTCACCTTCTTCACTTAAACTTTCATCCGGCATATAGGCTTCCGAACTTGATTCGGTTTCACTTTTCTCTTCATCAGAATTAGATTCTGAGTCTTCTACCGTCCCTTTGTCATGAAGTTGTTCAGCAGAATCTTCTGTCGCGGTTTCACCTTCTTCACTTAAACTTTCATCCGGCATATAGGCTTCCGAACTTGATTCGGTTTCACTTATCTCTTCATCAGAATTGAATTCTGAGTCTTCTCCCATCCATTTATCATGAAGTTGTTCAGCAGAATCTCCTGTCGCCGTTTCAATTTCTTCTTCATTGTCATTGTCAAATTGAGCCTGTTGTATGCTAGCACAATTACTATCTGAAAGCAAATTAAGTATAAGTTAGTCTACGATCTTAAACATTTACAAAATTAAATCAGGAGCGCCACAACTCTTCAACCGGTACAACACGGAATAATGAAAAAATAAAAATGCAGCATTAGTATGTATTGGTAGGGCTCAAAACAGACTTGAAAAATAAAGCACTAATTTATGGCGACAATCCGCAAAAATGGTGGGACAAAACGAAATTAATCGTCATTTTGTTGCATGAAAACTTTATTTTCTTTGCTCTCATTTTTTTTCATTCGTTTCTGTTAACGCAATAAAGACAGAACGTTTTGATAAAAAAGTTAGCGAAATTTAATGACACTTACGTAATTAATCATTAATAAAACTGCACAAAATTTTACTCCAATTAGATTCAAATTGATTTCATCCGCCATTTCGAAACATGGCCGATTAGTACGAGTAATTTTAATTATGTTATCTAAATTTAAAGCGAATATTGCGTAGACCAATTATTGTATTGTGAACTTTAATTATGGGACACGTTATAAAACTTGGTACATGTTTTGGTAAAGATTTTGTGTTAATTATTTTTTTTGAGGATTATTCTAAATGACCAATGAACGATGCAAAATTTGGCGATTTTGTTCAATTTCGGGCATATATTCTGAAGAAAATAAATATGGTGACAATATTAAAATAAATATACCGAAATAATTGCACTCTATGCTAAAGATTTCTGACAATTTTCAAAGTCGCAGGCAATTAAATAAAAACAACAAAAACATGTATAAACCATGTACCTTAATACATGATGTGGTTTTTTTCGAGACACCGGCTCCATAGTCGCTTACCCACGGTACGTCATCGTATATACAACATTATGTTGTATCATTAATGTACGGAATATTAACCGTATCTTCAACGAGCAATATTAACCAGCAAATTATTCAATGACACATATATGATAATTATACCAGAAACTGTCTCTTCAACAAGCAATTGTAAAACCGTCAAATATTCAATGACAGAGTTATGATCATTATACGCGACACTGTCTCTTCAACAAGCAATAGTAAAATGGTCAGGTATTCAATGATGCAGCGATTGTTAGTTTATACGGTATTCATTGTTTGATTACTAGGTAAATCCCTAAAACAAAAATATGTATACAGAATTATCTTCATATTTAAAGAGGATTTTTTGGTCATTAAGTAAATGAACAGAATGGGAACAAAATGCTCCATAAAGTATATAAACGTTTTAAACTTAAGCTTAAATAACATAAACAAATGAATTCAATTACCGTCATGTCGTATTTGTCCTCTTATACTGAAATATTAAAAAAAACAACGAATTATTATTTATCCAAATGTATTGTTTTATTATTTTATTTACATTGAACATGCTTTTCAGTAAATTACGTAGAATATACTTACAGTAGGTTAAAGTATAAAGTAGAAGTTCTAAATACTAATAATTAAATCAGCACTGAATGCTGCAAGTTTATACAAAGAGCATGTATTTCACAAATTTGATCTTACATGTGACACAATTTACATTATTACATCAATCTAGGAATTTGAAGCGTTATCTTGTACTCTTTCATTTTCATCTGAAATTTTACACACTTATAACGATTCAAAAATTAATTTTACAGTCAAGTTGTTGCAATTAAAAATATGCTGTATTGTAAAGCACTTAAACTAATAATGATATTTATCACGCCAAATTTATTATCATTATTATTAAATCATATGGTTAAAATTAGTTTAAATTAAAATTCAATGAATCGTATGTAAGCCTATTCATATGCTAATAAACAATATTTACCTTAAGAGAAAGACGAACACAGCAATGTTAATATATGTAAAAGTAGCCATTCTTCAGATTGTTCAATTTACAACGGTAACTTCAAAATTGTTCCAACGGAATAAACGGTTTCGTCTTTTATACATTTCTTTTGGAAAGATAAACGGACACAGCTGTTTATCATTTCGTATTGATAACCTAATAAATGTAAAAAATTGACTGAAAACAATAATATTAAATGACAAACGTGCATGAACATACAAGAATTACACCTACATACGTTCTAATAGCGACAATTTCGTACTGTTAATGAAAATACAGAGATTTTCTTAGGTGGTGTTGAACATGGATCAGCTTAGACTAAAGATTTATAGTTTTTCATCAACATAATGGCCGAAAGGCGTACATTTATAATGTATAATTGCACAAAAAAGGAAGCATAAACAGGCTTGCTTGCTTTGACTGGGTATTATGCCGATTTTTACACACGTTTTTGGTCATACCTCGGTGGTGTATCACCAAACCGGATTTTCAGTAATTTCCGCTATATCTAGTCAAAAGAATAAAGAAAATAAGAATCCCTTAAGAAAGTTCAACACGGCAAAATTGATTGAGCTTGTTCATGGTACTGTCAAGTGCAAACTACAGTCCATGCCTCCTAGCACCGGCTTAAGTTTAATTCAACATTTAAGATCAAAATTTAATAGTACAATTTTAAATTAAGAAACATCCGCTGATGTGTTCATATGGTGGTTAACATGACACCGACTACTATATCTTATATTATTTCTGAATCTGTGTTGAGAGACAAATGTAAAAAGACCCAATGTCCGAGATCATTTTTTACGGAGCAATTAGACCTCGTAGGAGGCTAGGACCAGCGACTCCGACATCATCATCATCAGCAGCATCATTATCATCATCAGCAGCATCATCATCATCATCATCATCATCATCATCAGCAGCAGCAGCAGCAGCAGCAGCAGCAGCAGCAGCATTATCAGCAGCAGAATCAGCATCATCAACATCAACAGCATCATCAAATCTATCATTATGTTTGTACTTTTTTAATCATCATCATTATCATCATCATCATCATCATCATCAATTCTATCATTTTTTTGTGTACTGTTACATTTATTCATTTATTATCATTATTAGTATTATAAATTTGAGTCGTCATGCATGTGAAATAGATCATAGCATGTATCGTAGGGAATCTAAATGAAACAAAAGCAGCAATCTAGCGTATATCTTATAAAACAGCTGTTACATTTAATTGTCTTCTTTAGTATACTCAGATTTCATAAGCAAATAATACTTACTCTATATTAACTTAATGCATTGTTTTTGTTTTAAAATCAATTTTGTCAGCAAGTACATAAAGATAACTAAATATTTAATGGACTTGTAGACCTTCCAATTTTGCATCTGTCCGTTATCAGTTTAAAGGCCATCAAGGTAAAAAGGTTGATTAGCACACAGAGTAAAAAAATAGCAGAATCCCTAAATAAACAAAGCGGCATAATTGAAAATGTGGCAGACTCGGTTTGATAGCTCATCGGTTAGATCCTGGCCACGTGATCCTAAAATTAAAAAATACTTATTCAAAATGTACAGAAATTGCAGATTTGCATAGTAAGGATAAAATCGACAAATAACAAAACAAAATCGGAACAATCGGATCAAAATAAGGATCAATTTAAGGATCAATATCAATATTTTGATCAACTTTAAAATACCCATATCTTGCAAAATAACAATAAATGTATAATAAAATTTCATAATCATGCTCAAGTCAAATTGTATCAAGTTAATATTAAATATTTAATCTATGAGGAAACACAAAGGAGAATATTTGAGTATTTTAAAATTTGACCATGTCGAACGCTTACTGGCCTGGCTCTATACTTACCATATCATGTTCCATCAAGTAAAGGGATATATAGCTGCCTTGGTATTGATAGAACAGAGAACAAACGGACTAAATCTGTACAAGGTGGTCAACCTTCGTGACGTTTCTTTAAAAAAAAACACAAAACATTTGAGTGTTAATTGATAACTTTGCTACTTCTTGGAGATTAAGCGCGATGGAATATGTTAAAAAAACAAACAACAAGAACAACAAAAACAAAAACAAGAAGCAATCAAAAAAGAGAATTAGTTTAAGAAATTTCACGACCACTTACTAGGTAGCGTAAGCATAAATGTCAATCTTTCATATTTTCAGGTAATAAGAGCAAATCCACGAACATTCAAAACTTTTCTTGAAATCATATGTTTTAATTTGACAGATGGAGTAATTCGAAAGAAAATGATATCGTAAAGTTAAATCATAGAGCTGAAAGCACTGAATATGACCGACTGGCATGACTTAGGCCGTATTGTAACACACAATAAACTGATTTAACGGGTAAAAGGATAATGTATGTTAAGACGCATTGATATGGGTTAGGTGCTTTGAATATTTATGTTTCTAGTAAATTGGAAATGCTCGATAACTTATGCTAAAACGTTAGAACAGAAATAGGATAGCTATTTGTCCTTTTTTACTAAAATTTACTTTAAATCGTATTATTTTGTTTTCATGATTGTTTTGTATTTTTAGAAATTGTGGAAATTATCAAGGGGGTGATTGCACTTTACTAAGATTATTGCACATCTGCATAAAACAAGCAAAACTAGAGATTTTTTGTTGGTAACATAGATTTTTTTGTTGATTTCTTTCTCTTTTATAATATGCAGAATAATTAACGTATGGTTTCGAAGCCTTCTTTGAGAATGCTAAAAAATGCGCAAGTGTCTATGAAGCGACGAATTAAGCTTGTACGTTCAAAAAGGAATATTCTGTTATTTTCAATAATTTTATCTGTTGTTAAGATCTGCTTTATGTGTCAGTTTTGTGGTCATATAAAATTGTTTGTTTGTGTTCTTGTTGTATTTTTCATTCGAATTCATTCCTGAACTTTTTGAATAGTTACACGAATAACTTAATTTTTTACATAAGTCAAAATATTAATTATGCTGTCATTATATGACTTAAATGCAGAATGCCTCAAGATTCATGCGTACTTTCGTAAAAAATTAATTGAAAATATATTAAAAAGTTAAATATTATCAAAAACACAAAGAAAGAAGTGTATACATTATTGCAAAATATTGTTAATGTCGAATCAATTGTTAACAAAATTATATATTATTTCATAGTGTCAAAGTGTTAAAATATCTAAATTTGGACTTCAGAAATTAAGGAACAAAAATTTTTAGCGGCCATTTTGGACGCCATCTTGAATTTCTCAACTCCCGACACACATAAAAAACATGTTGGCAGTTTCAGACACTTAGGCTTTGATGAATATTTTGGTATATAACATGTTCTGTTCTACTTGAAAAACTTAGTCCCTTAACTAAGATACTTTTGAGCACGTTGTCATTGATTAAAGATTTTTTTTTCATCAAGAATGATGTGACGTCATGAATTGATAACGTCATTAATGAGAGAGCAAATCGTTACACGGCAAAATCAGTAACAATGACTTAAAAAATGACAGAAATTGAAAATGTGTTTGTTTTGTAGGTAAACTCAAATTATATTTCAAATATCATTTTTGTTTCTATTAAACCGTCTAAAATATATATTAATTTTGAGTGCATTGTTTTATGCAGGTTTCGAGTTTGAATGCGTAGGTTTATTATCAATAAAGCCTATTGTAACAAATGTCATTTGAGCCAGCAATTGTCTTTATAATTATTAATTGCATCTGCTGTTTTACAATGTCTATCTAGCTTCATTAATTTTTTGTTTATATGCCGTGAAACGTGATTTTCTGCATTACAATACACGCAATGAAATGCAAGAAGACAAGATAAGACAAGATAAGACAAGGTAATCAAATAATGACACAGCTGTCGTTTCGTTTTATATAAATTGTGTATTGTACTTTTTGGTACTTATAACTTGTCTAAGAGTTTGCATTCTTTAAAACATCATGCCGGCAGATTCATGCTAATTTGCATGACATTTTTGAAAATGTATTTAAAAGTAAAATAAATATTGTGAAGTGAACAGAGAACGTAATTTATAAAAATCACTTTCAATCCACGTAAATAACAAGAAAGGTTAAAATAATTAAAAAAAAAAACTCACTGCATAAATACACAAACATGTAAAACGAAAGAAATATGACAATCAGTCATATATCGCACATAGCATGTAAGTTATTATTTGAATATTGGATATTTTTACATTTCTCAAATTCTCAAGAAGTACATTTTATTTAAGTTTGATTTTCTTCATCTAGATGCGTGCTGCTTTAAATATAGATTAAAATAACCATTCACTGTTCAAATAATAATTTTTTTTCTTTATCCTTATTCGTTAACTAAGATGATCATGGTAAACATCACCATAATAATTATCATCATCATCAATAATAATAATAATAATAATAATAATAATAATAATAATAATAATAATAATAACAATAATGATGATGATGATGATGATAATCATCATCATGTTATTCTATTTTTACTATTAATATTATAATTATTGTTGGTATTATAAAATTATTATTATAATGGTTACCGTAACGATAGCGGCACTGGTACTTTAAATTCGAGTAGTTAGCGATCTTCTCTTGATCGTTAAATTTGTTCGCAAAGGTATGATTATATTTTGCATAATATGTTCATAACATAAATGATAGAGGATGCAAATTAGATAATATACTGAGCTGAGTTATGTTTTTTCTTTTGTTATCATAATCAGACATGCCATAACTTCAAAAGTTAATCTCGATGGTTTAACTAGCATTTAACAAAATGATCCGTATTTAACGGTAAGAAGTATAATTATTGTACAAAGGTAAGTTGATCCACGTTTTTTGCACTGAATATTATTTGCTATTATTGTCATTTATTGGCATTGATGTCTTCAGTGTATCATGTTTTACAGCTGTGATCATTCCTAAACAAATAATTTGTTTATCTGTTGTTTTTGTTTTTTGGAAATGCGGGAGTCTAGACACGCAGACGCTGCAGAATGGATATAATCGATATAAATACAAATTTTAATGTAAAACAAACCACACAGTTATATCTATTTTCATGTCATTCTTTAATTTCAGAACAAACAATAAT